CTCCTCCTCCTCCTCCTCCTCCTCTTCCTCCTCCTCCTCCTCCTCTTCAATTCTCTCGGTGTCTCGGCTCGGCTCGCTGGCTTCGGAGAAACCCGTACTACAGTCGCCGACCCAGCGCCCAAGCGGGTCGCCTAGGGCTGGGGGCGCACCCCAGGGAGCGGAGAGGTCCAGGCAGCTGGGCCGCCGCGGGCACCTAGCCGTTCCCGAGTGAGCCCCGACCGCAGCCGTCGCCGCCTCGGGCAGAGTTTGCGCTCCTGCTTTGCGCCCGGGGCGCTGAAGCCGGGCGGGCGATGCCCGCGGCGTGAAAGCGCCCGCGGCGGGCGCCGACCTCTGCCCTCGTCTTCCCCCTTCCCGCCCCCCCCCGCCCTGTGCCCTTGTGACCCTGGCTTTGGCGCCGCCGCCCAGGCGCCCCGCGATGTAGCTGCCCCTGCGCCTCGGCGGGAGGCGTCCTGGCCCGCGGGCGCCCGGAGCCCGGCCTGGGGGCGCAGCCGAGCTCGGGCGGGGCCGGGGCCGCGGTGGCGATGCACCGGGCCCGTTAGCGCGGGGAGCGCCAGGCAGCTGAGGCGGGGGGCAAGCCCTCCCGCGGAGGAGCCGCGCCCCCGGCCCCGCCGGTCCCGCCGCGATGCTGTTCCACAGTCTGTCGGGCCCCGAGGTGCACGGGGTCATCGACGAGATGGACCGCAGGGCCAAGAGCGAGGCTCCCGCCATCAGCTCCGCGATCGACCGCGGCGACACGGAGACGGTAGGCGCACGGCTGCGGGGTCGGAGCTGAAACCTGGGACGGGGCCGGGTCCCTCCGCGCTTCTGCTCTCCGAAGTTTGGGGGCACTTTGGGGAGCGTCCTTCGTGCCGCACGGGACTGGGAGCAGGGGATCCGCGGACAGGATGCAAGGCCCCGTAGCTCCCGGCTCGGGGGAAACCCGGCTGCTGGGGCGGAGGAGGGAAACAAGGTTTAAACCGAAATTTCAGAGCCCAAGGGTGCAAGAGGGCATTTCTCCCGAAGTGGGAGCGAAGTCCTACCCGCGTCCCGGGATGGCTCTCTTCTCACTTACACCGGGGCCCTCTCTGGTCGCCAGCTCCGCGTTCCCCTCCACCCCTCGGCTGTAGCTGTAGGCGGCGCCGCCGGCGGCGCCGGGAAGGGCGAACCAAACGGGAGCACTAGGGCTTCAGCCGGCGCGGGCCGCTCCCGTCCCGCCTCCTGGCGATCGGAGTTCCCTCTCCAGCACAATTCCAAGGGTCCAGGTCTTCTGGGCCGGTGCTTTTCGTTGATCACGTCCCTGGCCTCCTGGCCGGCCGACCTGGCCAGGCCAGGGCTCGCAGTTCAGGCTCTGGCCTGGCTCTTGTGGAAGGAGCGTCCATTTGGATCTCCACACCTGGCTTTGCCAGCCCAGCCCCAAATAGCCAGTTCCTCACCTCAGGCCTCCCAGGGGGCCAGGCGAGCACTCGCTATGCAAGCTGGGCCCAGAAGTGACCTTTAGAGGCTGGGGAGGTAGGGAGGGCGAGCGAAGCTTCTCCACTTGGAAAGGGAGAGCTGCAGCCCCGGTGCCTCCAGCTTCTGAGCTCTTCTTTCCCGATCAAACTCTCTGCCTGTCCTGCACTCAGAGACTTTGAGGGTGCCTCCGCACTCCGCTCACCATCTCCCAAGGACCCAAGAGGGCCCCAGCCAGTGTGGCCAAGGTGGTGGAGGGGCAGGGGTTGGCTGCGACCTGTCCTGGCTTAAACCTTTGGCATAAGGATCCAGAGATCACTGAGGCTCGGGGCCAGGACCTCTGTGCGTCTCCCGGGAGGTGTCTGTGTAGAGGGTGACTTTTAATGGTCATCTCACCCTTTTTCCTGGGGCCCGGCAGAGTGACTCTTTTAAGAAACAGTTTTGAGGGTGCTTTTGGAGGGCTTGACTGGAGTAGCCACTGCTGCCCCAGCCCTCAAAACAGCCCAAACCTTTCTGGGAAAAGGGCAGAGGGGGCAGGCAGGGGGAGAACTGAGGAGGGAGATCCATCCAGGCCAGCAGCCAGGCCTGGGCCTGTGGCCGGCTTGGGCTGTGTGGGCGGGCCTGGTTTCTGAGCCTCCTGAATATGGGCCTTTTGGGGGTGGCGGAAGCGCACCGCACACCCTGGCGGTCCCGGTGGGGGCGGCGTTTAGGGCTGGCGGGAGCAACGGAGGGAGCTGCGGGTGCCCGTTTCCCCGCGGCGGCGGCGGGGAAGTCGCAGGCTGACGCAGGCGCCGCGGTCTCCCGCCTCCCTCCCTCCGCAGACCATGCCGTCCATCAGCAGTGACCGCGCCGCGCTTTGCGCCGGCTGCGGGGGCAAGATCTCGGACCGCTACTACCTGCTGGCGGTGGACAAGCAGTGGCACATGCGCTGCCTCAAGTGTTGTGAGTGCAAGCTCAACCTGGAGTCGGAGCTCACCTGTTTCAGCAAGGACGGAAGCATCTACTGCAAGGAAGACTACTACAGGTAGCCCCCCACCCGGGGACCCCCTACGCCCCAGGACCCTCAGACACAACTGGGCCCGGCTCCTTTTCCCTCCAGTCCCAAGGGAGGGTTCCCTACCTAGCCCCCCCTTCTCCAAGCCAGTACAAATTGGGTAACGACCTTTCTAAACAGCAATTTGAGGGAACTCTTGGGAAGGTCCGAGAAGTATAGCGACCCAGAGAAAAGGGCCCTCTTCTGAGCTTAGACACAGAAATAAGCTTGGGTGTGGGGGGACCTTGCACCCCTCTCCCTTTGAACTTTCTTGTGGGTCAAGCGGATGGAACAGAAAAAGGCACCCCCCCCCCGCCCCCAAACCCAGGTAGCCTGGGCTGGTGTGGGACAAAGTTGGAAGGAGAGCTGGAGGATCAGTTGGGTGCATTTCCGGGTCTTTCGTGAACCTGGGAGTGAAAGCAGCCTAAAGGGTTAAAGAGCCAGAGTCACTAACAGGCTCCAGGTTTCTTCTCTCCGTTTAGGGTTAGGGTCTGTTTATATTCCCTTTCTCTCTCTCTCTCCCCCCTTCTCTCTCTCCTCCCTCCCTCTCTCTTTCCCCATCTCCGTGTTTCTTCCAAATTACAAAGGTCTGTAGGATTCTCAGGCGCTGGTGTGGAGGGCAGGGGTAAAGGATGAGAAAGGGTAAGTGGGCAGCCCCCCCCCCCCGCCCTGGTTCCCAAGCAAAGGCTTTCCTGGGGCTTGCCCAGGCTCTGGGTAAAGTAGAAGCCTTGTGGACATGAATATGGTTAAGGGAATCTATATTTCAGGGTAGGACAAGACCTGGGCCAAAATCTAGTTCCCTCTTCGCCCCATCCTCCAACTTAAGACTGGTTCCCATCTTAAGGAGATTTCCCCCAGTGGCAGCAGCGGCACCTGGAGGAGGGATATGGGGGGTACCCAACCGTGTGTCCCCACAGTCCCTCCCTCGATGGTCCCTACAGGCGGTTCTCTGTGCAGCGCTGCGCCCGCTGCCACCTGGGCATCTCAGCCTCGGAGATGGTGATGCGTGCTCGGGACTTGGTTTATCACCTCAACTGCTTCACATGCACCACGTGTAACAAGATGTTGACCACGGGTGACCACTTCGGCATGAAGGACAGCCTGGTCTACTGCCGCTTGCACTTCGAGGCGCTGCTGCAGGGCGAGTACCCCGCGCACTTCAACCATGCCGACGTGGCGGCGGCCGCAGCTGCAGCAGCCGCGGCCAAGAGCGCTGGGCTGGGCGCGGCCGGGGCCAACCCTCTGGGTCTTCCCTACTACAATGGCGTGGGCACGGTGCAGAAGGGCCGGCCGAGGAAGCGCAAGAGCCCCGGCCCCGGGGCGGATCTGGCGGCCTACAATGCTGGTGAGTGCGAGGCGCACGGAGCGCCCCCGTCGGGTTGGGGGAAAGTGCCTGGCGTCGACTGCATGGAGCTGGAGTGAATCTCAGTGTGATATCTATCTATATCTATATCACTCTGCATACTCTAGCCCTTAGATTCCCCAGTCCCTAGGCACCGGATGACCTGGCAGAAGGGCCATTAGGCTCCTGGGCTCCAGCCCATGCGCACTTGGCTGGAGTGGGAGGCGAAGGTGCATTTGAGTCTCGCTGACCCCCGTGCAGAGCCTCGTCCCTGAGAAATTTTTCAGAGGTAGCTTTTTGGTTTGGGCCTTTCCCCCACTTTGCTGGTTGGAGAGTGCAAGCACAGAGAAAGAAGGTGGAGCCGACACCAAACTGGCTCTGGGTTGGCGCGGCTGAGGATGGGAGCTGGGGCGATGGATGAACTGAGGAGGCAGGGCAGCGAGGGTCCCAAGAGAAAGGACTGGCGGTGGTGGTCGGTGGGGGGCCACGAGCTCGGCCTGGTGTTTGGCCTGGTCCTGTGAAATGTCCTGAGGGCAGCAGGCTCGGGAAACTTGGGCCCAGGACCCTTATGAACCAGAGCAGGTCGCTGAGCCCGGCCCGATCCTCCTCCCCCAGGTCTCGGTTTTCCCCGGGTTCCTTCCTCCGAGTTCCGAGGGCTGGTTTGAGAGCAGCAACCCTCGGAAGCCGGCACCCGGGGATGAGACCCGAGTAGGCCTGGCCTCGCGCGGGGAGTAGGGTAGAGGGCTCGTTTCGCATTTCCGGCATCTTTGAACCCTGGGCCGTTCCAGGAGAGGCTCTCCCCCCCCCCGCCCCTCCCCGCTCAGGACAGCTGCGGAGGTTCTGGGGCCCGGCAAATTGAACCGTCAACATCTGCCCGACGTCTGCAAGGCCGGGAAAGGTTTATGACTCCCCGGGCTTCTGAACTAGATAAAGTTTATTTGCCATTATTTTCTTTCTTTCGTTTGCGACAGAATCAGATTCGGAGATTTTTGTTTTCTTCTTCCTTTTCCCCTTAGTCTAATGCACAAGTGGAAAACAAAACAAAACAAAAACCCAGGACTGTGGGGAGAGGGCAGCCGCGGGGAAGAAGGCAGGGTTATTTTGATCTTTTAAAAATCTGAGCTGACTGGGGGAGGAAAATTCAGCGGGTGCGGGGGTCCCCTGTTCGCTCCAACGAAGTTGCTTGTTGGAAGATGGATGGACGTATGTGTCTCCGTGTGTGCAGCTGGGAAGAAAATGCAGCCCCCAAATTAGTAAATGGTGAAGTGGCCACAGGCAGGTCAGTGGCAGCAGATTAAAGATTTGTTGAAGGTTCTACCAGAGATGCCAGCTCTCTAAAACTTCCACCCCTCATCTCTCACCACCCTGAAAATAGACTAAACGGAGTCCAGGCCAGGTTCCCCAAAACAAAGCCGCGTCTATTTATCAAATGGGGCCGGCCCCCAGTAGGTAGCCCCAGGCGGCCTGGGCTACAGGCGCATGGTGAGTGGGATCATGTTTTTCTAGTAGGCAGGTTAGCTACTGGGTTTGGAATAGAAAGGTAGAAGGGTACAGAAATTTATTTGTGCTTTTTGCTGCTCTGCCGCCTTCCCTGGCGAGGTCCGGCGGCACAGAGCAAGAAGATGTGGCTGGAGGCTGAGTTTCAAGGGAGCTGGCACCTCTACAAGACATTCCCCACCCATGCCATCTCCTCGTTTTTTTCTTTGACCCCTCTCTCTTTTTTTTTTTCCTTCCGATCCTCCCGATTCCCCTTTCTCTCTGTCCTTCTGTGTGTTTGTGTCTCGGTTTCTCGGTTCCGGTCTTTTTTTTTCCCTGCCGGCGCGCGCGTCTCTAGCCTTGGCTCGGGCGGTAGAAACCACGCACGGCGCGCGGGCTGTGGTCGTGCCACTCGCTTATTCGGGGCTCCCGGGACCAGGTTGGGGAAAGGGGTCGCCTTCCTGGCCGCGCCGGGCCCGGCCAGGCCTCTCCAGGTCTGGCTCCCGTTCTCTTCCCTCCCCTCCCGGCACCGGCAGGAGAGGAATGGCCTCAGTGTGGGCCGTGGGGCCGCCGGGACTGGAAAGGGGGCCGTGGAGGGTGCGTCTGCGGGTGGCGTGTCTGAGCAAGAGTCTGTGCGCGTTTCTGAGTGTGAGGACAAGAGCTTGTTGGTGTGCGTGTCCCACACGCGGGGGCCCAGCCACCCCGACCCTTCACTCTGCGGGCCAGTCCGGTGGCGGAGCGGCGGCACCTTATTCCAGGGCGGTGAGCTCGGGCAGCTTGGGGTGGGACGCCGTCGGTGCGCCCAGCCCGCCGCCGAGGGAAGGACAGCCAAAGCGGCGGGGCCGCAGGGTCGGAAAGTCCTTCCGGGGCGGTGGCCACGGCAGCCCTCCTCTGGCCGCCCCTCCGGAGCGAGAGCGCAGCCCGGGTCGCAGAAGCAGAACTGAAACCTTCCCCCACCCTTGAGCCCGGCCGCCCGCCGGCCTGGGGCGCAGACGAGGCGCTCGGAGCCCGCGAGGGGCCGGGGCCGCGCACTTTGCGCCGGGGGTTTGTTCGCCACGGCCGCGGGAGTCCCGCGCGGACCGGCCGGACGCCCGGGCCTCCCCCAGCCCCAGCTTTTTGTGTGTGTGCCTGGCGGCGTAATTACTGATTTGATTCCAATCCATTATTTAGACAATTGAACCTACAATCTCGTCTTTAGTAAAATGAGGCGAAGTCAGATTTGATTACAGGTTCAGTCCCAGCGACAAGAGCTCGAAACCCGATGGGTTAATAACAGATCACGAGTAAATTATTCATGATTTTACGAGCTCTTTAGCTCCATTGAATCGGCCTAATTGAGAGGAAAAAAAAAAAAAAGGGAGAGAGAAAGCCCGGTCCTCCCCCTCCCCTCGGCCCCTCGCTCCTCCCCGGATCCGATCTTGGGGAATCTCGACCGGGCCGGGGCATGGGGGGCGGGAGTGAGGGCGTCTGGGGTACAGGACAAATCTGGGCCCAGGGGCCGCTTCCAGGCTGCCCTCACTTTCCCGGCGCAGCACCCCCGCCGTGGCCGCTGGCCTACTCGGCCTCCCAGTCTTGAGCCAGCTTCTTCGCTGCCCTCCCTTCCTTTCCTCTCTCCCCCCCTTTTCACCACTCCCCAGCCAGTAAGGCTTCCTAATAGGCTTTCCCGCCGGGACCTGGTTTCCTTGAGACCCGGGATTCCGTTCCTTAACCTGGACCCCCCACCACACATTCCCCTGTTTTTCCAGGCCTCGCTGTCCCCTCAGGCTCTCTCTCTGTCTCTCCGGATTTCTTTCTGTCTTTGTAGCTCTCTGTCTCCCGTTCTCCCCATCTCCACTGCTTCCCTTTCCTCGGTCTCTCCTCTTTTTCCTGGCTCTGTCCATCCTCCCTCCCTACCCCCTCTTCTCTACTCTCTCTCTCTCTCCCTTCTGTCTTTCTACCTCTGTCTCTCTCTCCTTTCTGTGCCCTTTCTCTCTCCCTCCCCCAAACCACCTCCCCCCTAGATCTAGGCCGCACTTGGGGCACGTCCCTTGGGTGCTTGGGGCGCCAGGGTCCCCACGGAGCTCATTAACAGCAGCAAGGCCCAGGCGGGGACTGGGCAGAGGGATGGGCCCAGAGATCCCCTGTGGGGAGGCCTGCCCCACCCCCCATGGAGCTGGGGGTGGGGGCAAGAGGAGGGTCGCTCCCTGCAGTGGGGGGGCAGGGCAGTTTCCATGGAGTCCCTTTGGAGTCATTTTCTGATCCCTTTTACATCGCTGGACCCCGTTCTTCACTCGGAGTGCTTTCAGTGGGAGTACAGCCAAGGTGGGGGACTTGGGTGCCTAGGTGCATGTGCAGGGGACCCTTAGTAGCCACTTGCTGACAGCTTCAAGGTTAGTGACAAGACCAGCGTCTTGCAATTTCTTTCTGTGAGACACTGCTCCCCACCTGAGTAGTGGGTGCAGTAGGTCACCAGGAAATCGGGAGTACTTCTGAAGTGGTTTTGCCAGATAAAATGCAGGACGCCCAAGTTAAATTTGAATTGCAAGTAAACAACAAATAAATTTTTAGTGTAAGTGTATCCAATGCAATATTTGAATTATAAATAAACAACAAATAATTTTTTAGCATAAGCATATCCACTGCAATATTTGAGTTTTAGGTAAACAACAAATCAATTTTCAGTGTAGGTATTTCCCATGCAAAATCAGAGGCATACTTAGAAATTGTTCGTTGTTTGTCTGAAATTCAGATTTAACTGGACAACCTGCATTTTTATTTGCTAAACCTGGCAGTTCTATTAGGAGCATATGATGGGGCAGAAGATACATCCGCAGCTGTCCGCTTTAGGGGGACTAAATTCATCTGCTATGAGGTTTCCCCCAAAGTAAGACCTTACACGCAGGATGGCTCGGGATGTGATGAAGGAATCTTGGAGAGGAGTCCTTTATGTTCCCATCAGACACCAGGTTGCCAAGTAACTTTCTGAGGCCTTAGGTTTCCACCCCTGTCCCTCACCCCCATTGCCTTCCAGGCATTGGCAGCCGGGCCCCAGCTGGGCCCCTTCTGGATGGGGACTGGCTCCCCAAAGAGCCATGCTTCATCTTTGCCTGCCTTTGTGGCATAGTGGAAGGAACCGGGCAAGGACTGCAGTGCTGAATCCAGGCTCAGCCCTTACGAGTTGTGCGGCTGTGTACACATGGCTTCGTTTCCTTTAGCATCCGTTTCCTCATCTCAAAAATGAGATGAATAGCAGTAGCCACCTCTTGGAGCAGTAGTGAAGGCCCCATGATGTACATAAGGCCAAAAGCATACCCTTGGTGTCAGATACATGTTAATTTCTTCCTCCAACTTCCTTCTCTTTCCGGCTAGAATTCTGCCGCTCTGAGATTTCTAGAGATCGCTTCACCTCCCTGCCTCGTTCAGCCAGTCTGTATAACTGGGAAGCAAGTGCTTGCCCAGGGTGGGGGGAGAGGAATAAACTACAAAATACAGTTTCCCACCTTGGCCCAGTGCCCATGGCCCAGGGTCAGCCAGAACTCCGGGGTTGGGGAACTGTTCAGGGTGAAATCAAAGTGAGTGGAGAGAGGTCAGTCATCGACTTTCAGGTGCCCGCCCCAGACACTGGGTGGGGTGGGGCAGACTGGAGATAGCCTCCTTCCTTAGGGAGTGCAGGGGGAAATGGGCAAGAGTGTGGGCCCGGGAGCCCTGCACACGGCTCCGTCCTCAGTCAAGTGCCTTCCGTTTCTGAGCCTCAGTTTCCACATCTGTAAAAAGGAGGAAATAATGCGAGGCTCATAGGGTTGTTTTAAGGACTCAGTGAAAATATGTAAGGCTTTTAAGCACATCACCTGTAGTCAAATAAGCCATCTACAAGTTGTAGCTGTTGTTGTTCTTAGTCAAACATGATGGCTCAGAACGGTTTTTGGAATCTCTTAGAGGTGGGTTGGAATCCGGCATTTACTAGCTGAGAGATCCTGGGCAGGCGGCTCTCTGTGAGCCTCACATTCTCCTATAAATCTAGAAAATGGGGATAATCTTTTCATCTCAGCGTGGTGCAGTGTGTGCGGTGTGGTCCTGAAGCTAGAAACTTCTGGTGGCAGGCGGGGCGGGGGCGGACTAGGCAGTGTAGGGGAGGGCAGGTCAGGAGGTTGACCAGCCGCTTCTGCGTGTCCCCTCCCCAGCGCTGAGCTGCAACGAGAACGACGGGGAGCACCTGGACCGCGACCAGCCCTACCCGAGCAGCCAGAAGACGAAGCGCATGCGCACTTCCTTCAAGCACCACCAGCTTCGGACCATGAAGTCTTACTTTGCCATTAACCACAACCCCGACGCCAAGGACTTGAAGCAGCTGGCGCAAAAGACGGGCCTCACCAAGCGGGTCCTCCAGGTCAGCTGGGCCGCGGCAGGGGCTGAGGGTGGGGGCACCGGGGGCCTCCAGGGCCTGGAGCCGAGCCCCACAGCTGCCATCGGCCTTGGAAGGACCTTCCACCCACCGTCTGCTCTTCTCTTCGTCATCCTCGGCTCCTTCTCCATCTCTTCAGTCTCTAGCTGAATGTCAGGGTTATGGGTTTTTCCAGCCTGACTTGACCTCTTCTCTTTCAGGGTTTTGTCTCCCAACTTTTCTATTTTGTGTACGTGTGTCCCTCTGTCCTTGTCTCCGCGCCTAGCCTCTTTTCTGTCTTATAAACAGTTCTTCGTTGCTCTTTATTACTTAAGTGACACTCACAGTGTTCATGTAGTAAAAGGTTCAAGCGTTTCAGATAAATCCAGAGCATCCCAGGACGCCCGTCCAAGACGATTGCGTTAGCTGTTTGCTCCTTTTGCTTCTTGCTCCTCACTCATCCCCTCTGGCTCCTCTTTCTGTCTCTCTCTAGATTTTTCTTGTCTCTTTGTTATTTCTTAGACTCTCCCAGAAGCAAGCTTTGGGAGAGGGGTTGTGGGCTGATCCCCTGGGTGGGCCAGGGAGGCTCATCTGCCTGCGGGGAGCTAGAAGCAGATGGGCACCTCTGAAACCCAGAGGAATTGCACTTGTGAGGGTGCTTTCTGCATAGAGAGGCTCCAGAGCTTTCCCCAGATTTTTGAAGGGTCTGTCCATACCTCAAAGTTGTTAAAAACACAGTTTGGGGAGTCCCAGTCTCCCGCATGACCCAAATTCGTGACAGAGATTTGGGCCACCGCCTTCTCAGATCTTCAGCTCCTCCTCTTATTCATTTCATGGTCCTGGTCATTTAATGCCTCTGAGTCTCAGTTTCCACATATGTAAGACAGACACAAGAGATTGTCTATACTGCAGGCTTATTTGAGGAGCCATTGGGATAATATAAGGGTCCACCACAGTAGCTGACCCTTAACTGATCAGTGGATGGTAGCTAAGAGTAACATTAACTAGATTAATTAACTGCTGTTAACTAGTATGAGTGATTATTCTGGTCACTGGACTTCAGTTTTCCTATCTGTACAACCAGAAGGTGGGGGAGAATATCTTTCTTTATAGCACAGTTTAACCAATTTATTCCTTAGAACGTGTGGTCGTAGGGATAGCAAAGCACATTTTGGGGAAAGAAAATCAAGAGATGAAGATCTGAGGTCTCATGGCAGGAGGGGAGGTGCTGGGATTCGAGTCCTGGCCAGTCTGATTTATCGTCCAGCCCCAGGTCACTGGGGACTGAGGGCTGGGGGACTGGGACACTGAGGGGGTGAGGGTGACGATGATGGACACCAAGGGCTGCGCAACCGCCCTCGATTTCCTGTGAGTATGTCGGGCGGCGGCATCTTGGCTGTGATGGCGGTGGCGCGATGGGACTGTGACTCCAGCGCTGGTCGGTAGATCCCCTGGGAGCTGGGAGTCCCGGCCCCAAAGCTGGGGGTTGGCCCTGCTGCCTGCACCCCTGCGCAACAAGAGGGGTTCTGGGGCAGCTTGGTCTCTGGCGGGCTGGGTGACGTAGCCAGAGGAGGCGAGGGCTGGCCAATGGGACGCTGAGGCGCCGCTCTGGGCCCACCCCCGCTCCGCGTGGGCCCCGCCCCTCCCATTTGGGTCCCTTTTGCCTGCGGGTCCCTTTGTCCTGGGCTTGAGAAGGGGCAAGGACATTGCTGTGCCCAACCGGGTCTCGGATCCCCCTTGTCCGTTTCCCTTGGACTTTACCTTCTTGGGTTAGGTCTGGGGACCCTCCTTGGCACCCCCGCCATTCCTCAGCCCTGAGAGAATTTGGTCATCCGCCTCTTCTTTGGTTAGTAGGATACTTTGTCCCTTCCCCTATCTAGAACCCCTTAGGGCAAGTTGGTGAGGGCCATTCAGTGAGCCAACCCCTGGGAGCAGGCCAGGGCAGGAACAGGGACTTGGAGTGCAGCGCAGAGCTTCACTCCCTGGCTGTGCATCTTGAACAGATCAGTTACCCTTTCTGAGCCATAGTGTTCTCACCTGTAAAATGGGCACCATTAGGGCATATACCTCTCTCAGTTATCCTGATTAAATGGTAGAGTAAGTGCTCATAGCTGAGTCTGAATCTGGATGAGGAGCCACACTCTGTTGGCCTTTGAGGCAGGAGGCTTTGTTCCCCGATTTGGGAACAAATCAGGTTTCCAGTATAGTTGTCTCTCATTCTTTCATCTGACCAAATATCTATTGGCACCAGGCCTTGGGGACGCAGAGATGAATGAACCACAGTCCTAGCCCTGAAGAAATTTACCCTCTTAACTGTAGAAATAGACCTACATTCAGTTTCCCCATAGTGTGATCAGTTGGGGCGGGGGGGCTTCTGTGGGAGACCAGAGGAAGAACTGACTGTTCTTCGTGTAAGGGAAGGTTCACCTGAGGGAACTGGGTGAATACTTGTCCTGTGCCTTCCTCCCCTAGAATCCCGAGCCAGACCTGCTCACACCTGTATGCCCCCTCCACCACAGGGACTCAGGAAAGCCAGAGGCAAGGAACTAGTTGAGGGAGAAAAGCCCTGACAGTTAATGGTGTGTCTCCCAATCAGTAAATGTTGGAGTGTACTACTATGTGTCAGGCACTTTGAAAGGCCTGTGAAACACATTTGCTCATTGCATTCTCACTGTCAGGCAGCATGATAACCTCCTGGCTGTACAGATGAGAACATTGAGGCCCAAATAATTTCCACTTGCCTCAAGTCACACTTTGCTAGTAAGTAGCAGAGCTGGATCCAAATCCAAGCCTGTCTCTGGTCAATCTCTGGCTCTTTCTCCACTAAGCCAACCCAGCAGTCACTGCCTCTGAGTGTGAGTATCATCGAGGGCCTGTGTGTTGTTGGGGGTGGTGGTGGTCATACCCATAAGGCATACCAGACCGCTGTTCTCCCTCTTCTCAGACCTCCAGATCTCTCACACTGATCCTTAATATCCCCTTACGGCACGACTGCTCGTGATCATGCCGCAGTTTGCAAAACATTATTTTTCCAGCCACTCGTCTGCCTTAATATTTTCCTGCCCATTTTACAGACAAGAAGCTTAAGAACTAGTGAAATGAAGTGATCTGCTGGAGGTTACAGGAGCCAGGCACTGGCAGGGTGGGGCTCTCTCCCAGGGGTTCTGACCGCTGATGGGCTAGCTGGGGGAGGTGGGATAGGAGCCGCTCGGGGCCGGGCAGGGGGTGGTGTGGCTTTGGAAGGTAACAGACTGGTTCAGGTCCTTTGGGACTTACTAGCAGTGAGATTTGGTCACTTACCATCTCTCTGAGCCCAATTCCTTATCTGTGGAACAAAGGTAATCATCGTTTGTGTCTTGAGAATTCCTGAGCATTGAGACAGTGAGTGGGGAAAGCCTCCAGCACAGTGCTGCCTGGTATAAAGTAGGTGCCCAGGAAATAAATCGTTCCTTATCACTTGTCTACACCAGCTCAGCGGCACTAGGCCTTGGGTGCTCCCTGCAGGTTGTGGTCCAGCTCAATCCTTCAGAGAGGTTCTCTATGCAGGTTGAGGTTGAGGCTGTGTTCTTGAAGGTGAATGATATAGGATGTGTGTGTGTGTGTGTGTGTGTGTGTGTGTGTGTGTGTGTGTGTGTATAGGGGCATTCTGGGCTGTTTCTGAATCTGTTATGCATAAGTACCGCCAATATGGTAGGCCTGGGATGCAGTATCCCTGTTGGAATTTTGAGTCAGCTGATGTGAGGTCCAGGCTCAGCTCTGCCACTCGCACTCTGAGCCATATTGAGCAAGTCACTTAACCTCTCTGAGCCCCAGTGGCCTCGGCTATAAAATAGGGATGATCATAATATTCATTAGGTGTTTGCAAAGGGAAATGAGATGACTTCAAGTGTAATTTACAAAGTATAGATTCGGGACTCAATGCACATGAACTTCACACACATTTACACAGTAGGGTTCAGTCAACCAGCCTCTTTGCACTCATTAAAAAAATTTAATTATCTTTATTTTGCAGATGAAGAAACTGAGGTTCAGAGAGACTAGAACCCTTGCCTTCAGTCCCACAGCTAGTAAGTGATGAAGCCAGGAGTCAAGCCCAGATCTGTGTGATTCCACAGCTCTTTCCAATATAGCAGTGTAGGGACTGGGACCATCCTGCCTTGGATCTAGTTATAGAAAGCAGCCTTGCAGATGGAGAGAAAAGATGGAGTGGGTCATAGATGCCATGTCTTGGGAGCAGAGCAGGAATCCTGTTGTAGAGCCGTAAGTACAGAAAAAGTGCTCCAAATTATCATCAGCAACAGCATGGCCACCACAATTCTCACTTTCTACCCACGGGCAAGGTGACTGGGAGAGAGAGTGGCCCCTCGGACAGAGGTCCATGAAGACGTTAGGCTTTGCAAATGCTTGGAGACAACTCCTCAGCACATAGATGCCCCTCTGAGTTGCCTCTCTTCCTTCCTGAGAAAGGGTCAGGAAGGCAGAATAGGCCCTGGGCTTGGGGACAGGGGTGGTGAGCTGATTGATCTGGATGGGTGAAAGTCTCCTTAGGGTTTCTTGGTGTGACTTGGAAAGAAAATACATTTTAACCATCAACAGTTTACAAACATTCTTCGGATGACTAGTTAGTTGTCACTAACTTGTGTTAGTGACACATCCTCAGGAACTGAGGATGCTAACTTTCCTCTGTTCACTCATTTATTCAACAAATACACTGATCTTCTGCCTTGTTGGGGGGGTGGTGGCGTGACCCAGACAGTGAGTGGGACCTGCTGGAGCTGCAATCCAGAAGGGAGACAGATGTGCAACAAATAATTACAAATGGCAATAATGTTAGTGCTTACCTTCTAAGGCACTAATGAGTTACTATGTGCAAAATGCTGAGAACCTTCCAGAGATGATGCCTGGTACTTAGTGAATAATATTTGTTGGTATGACTTTATGAAGTTGTTGTACCAGAGGGCATATTTTTTTTTTTTTTTTTTTTAGATTTTATTTTATTTTTTAAAGATTTTATTTATTTGACAGAGAGAGACACAGCGAGAGAGGGAACACAAGCGGGGGTGGAGGGAGTGGGAGAGGGAGAAGCAGGCCTCCCGCGGAGCAGGGAGCCAGATGCAGGGCTCGATCCCAGGACCCTGCGATCATGACCTGAGCCGAAGGCAGACGCTTAACAACTGAGCCACCCAGGCACCCCTAGATTTTATTTTTAAGTGATCTCTACACCCAATGTGGGGCTTGAACGCACAACCCCAAGATCAAGGGTCGCATGCTCCACCGACTGAGCCAGCCGGGCACCCCGGGTCATATTCTTTTTATTCTTTCTTTCTCATATCACATTCATCACAAAACATTAGCCCCGCAACTGCCTAGAGTGTTTGTGTCGTGGCTTTCACTTACCCCATCTGGTCAGACACTTTGCATGCATCCATCAGTTTGATGTTATTAAAAATGCCGCAAATGTAAAAATGAAATCTTAAAAACAACAACAAAAAAAGGAGTGTCCTGCTGGCTGTCTCAGTCTGTAGAGCATGTGACTCTTGATCTCAAGGTTGTGGGTTTGAGCCCCATGTTGGGTGTAGAGAGTACTTAAAAATAAAATCTTTTTATTTTTTAAAAAGATTTATTTATTTACTTTAGAGAGAGCACATGCGTGCCTGCCTGCGTGGGGGGGTGCAAAAGGAGAGGGAGAAGAAGAGAATCTCCTACAGACTCCCCGCTGAGCACAGAGCACCCCCCACGAGGCTGGATCCCAAGGCCCTGCGATCATGATCTGAGCTGAAACCAAGAGTCGGATGCTCAACTGACTGAGCCACCGCGGCGCCCCCCAAAATAAAAATCTTTTTTAAAAATGCCAGAATGGACATCTTTGGGCATGAAGCTTTTATATTTGGACTGGTTTCCTTAGTGACCCAGGAAGGGATTTGTGAGGCAAAGTGGGTTTCCCACTGGCCCTCTTGGTCCCCTTGATGAAAGAATCCTAGGGAGGGGAATTTGTGAGGAAAACACAACCTGCAGGGCCAGTGAGTGTCTGAGGAGGGGCACGTGGCAGGGTGGGCTTCATGCACCCAGGACTTCCCGGGGATCCCTGGGGCACCAGGCTACGGGACTCCCCCCAGATGAAGAAAGGGGGCTGTCAGTTTAAGAAGATGGGTGGATGAGGGGCGCCTGGGTGGCTCAGTCGTTAAGCATCTGCCTTCGGCTCAGGTCATGATCCCAGGGTCCTGGGACTGAGCCTTGTATCGGGCTCCCTGCTCCATGAGAAGCCTGCTTCTCCCCCTGCTTGTGTTCCCTCTCTCACTGTGTCTCTCTCTGTCAAAAAATAAATAAAATCTTAAAAAAAAAAAAAGATGGGTGGGTGGAGCTGATCAGCTTCTTGCATCTGCCCTGGAATCTTAGCCTGTCAGAACCCTGAGAGGCCAGAGAGGTGGCATGCTGTTGTCAGACCCTCTCGTTGTGTGGGTAGGGAAACTGAGGCAGACCCGAAGGTAAGGGACCAGCACAAGGTCACTGGGTTGGTCAGTGGCAGAGCCAGACCTGGAAGCTGCATCTAGTGCTTTTTCCCCTTCACCACAGTTGCTTTTGTGTTTATTCACTCATTCATTCATTTCTTCGCCGACTCACTCAGGATCATGTGGTGGGGAGAGCATGGACTTTTTAATGGCTGATATTCCTGGATTCCAGTCTCAGCTCAGCCTCTGTGTGACCTTGGGCAAGTGACTTCACCTCTCAGAGGCTCTCTGGTTTTAAATCTCTATAAAGTAGGGGCAACGACAGTGGCCCCTACTTGGCTTTCCCCGGAGCTGACCTGTGACGCCACACGTTATAGGGTGGCATGGGGCCTGGCACAGAGAGAGCATAAGTGGTATCTATCACTACCCCCTTTTTTTTTAAAGATTTTATTTATTTCTTTGAGGAAGAGAGAATGAGAGACAGAGAGCACGAGAGGGAAGAGGGTCAGAGGGAGGAGCAGACTCCTCGCTTAGCAGGGAGCCCAACACGGGACTCGATCCCGGGACTCCAGGATCATGACCTGAGCCAAAGGCAGTCGCTTAACCAACTGAGCCGCCCAGGCGCCCCTCTATCATGACTACTATGAATTCAACGCATGTTACTCATTCTTCATCTTTCCCAGTCCCCATACCATATCCCAGGGACATGAAAATGACTTAGACAGGGGCCCTGCCCCAAGAGCCACTTGGGAGGGGACTTTTGGGAGAGAATTCTGGTGAAGCCCTGGGGAAGGTGAAAAACAAACCCAACACAAAACCCCACAGCAGCCCGGCCTTGGGCTGAGTTGTTGGTTTTCATCCACCAGACTCCCGGTGCCTCAGTCGCAGAAGATGGTGTCATTGTTTACAACTCACTGTTAGGGGCAACAGCAGGAGAAAGAGCAAATGGCTGGTAGCTAACCGGTTCCAGCCCTTCCCAAGGGCTTGCAGCCCTGGACCTAGGAGCTGCGCACCGCCCCCGGGGGCTCCCTGCTCCAGCCACGGCTTGGAGAGACACACACAGGCCAGGACAGTGGCACAGGGTGTCAGACCTGATGTGAGACTTTGGGGGAGGTCGCTTCCTCCCTCCGAGGGCCTCTGGAGACTTTCCCTATCGAGTTTTGCCATCAGCCATTCCCTGGACCGGATGGACAGAGTCTGACGCTGAAGATATTTCTGCAGGCCAGGCAGGGAAGGGCTCCTATCCTAAGAAGAGCGTGTTGACGGTGGTCTTAGAAGCACTGAACTTACCTGCAAGCCTCCAGAAGAGGTGATGGGCTTGCTTTGGGCAGAAGGCCAGGGAAAATGCTTTCTTCCTGGAAGACCCAGCGTGCCGGGGAAAGAGCTTTGTTTCCCGACTTCACAGGGTCTGAGTCTCTCCTTACCCCTGGATTCTCGTGGATGTGCTTTTTAATTGAGCCCAAATCTTATCAGGCCACCAGAAAGGTTCGTCAGATGCCACAGGCCCCCCGTAGGGGGTGGTCCCCAGGGGAGGGTGGGGCCAGGAGGTAGCCCTTCCCACCCATGCCTGAGACATTGGGAAGACTAGCAGATGCAGGCACATCTGGAAATATGCAACTGGACACCCCAGAATCTATAGAATTCTCTAAGGCCCTTTGTTTTATGGGGAGGCTTCTGGCGGGTGTTTTTCTCATGCAAAGGGAAGTGAAGGGGCCTTGACTTTCAGGTTTTTTTTCTTTGGGAGATATAACTCACCACCCCCCCACCCCCCAACACACACACCCTCTCCCCTCCCCCGCCCACCAGATTTCCTAGACCTCGCTCAAAGTACTTTGAGGACCTCTGGGTACAGCCAGATCTCTCTGTGCAGTTAGACTGGCGGTCAATAATTGGGGGGTGGGGGGGGTTGTGCTGTGAAGATGAGTTTCTGTGCATGTCTTCCGGAGTACGTATAGGCTCGTGTGCAAAGGTATGGGTGTAGATGGATTGCGTGTCTGTGCCCAAGGAAAACTGAAAGTAAACACTTATTCTCTCTCTTTGGTATTCTTTTCATACCAAGCTCAGTTCTCACAGCACAATGCACCCCACCTCCCTCATAAATGATACTGGGGCGTGGTCAGTTTGGAGAAGGAATCCGCAGGTCACCACCTCCCCGGACTGGCTTTAACCCGGCAGCAGCTCTGCGCACCCTACCCTGAAACCTAAAACCCCCAGGGGGTCCACGATAGCCAGTGGCTTCTCTGCCTGATGGCGGTGGGGAGGAGGACTGCTGTCTCTTTCTTCCTCAAAGTAACTCTTTATTGACTGATTCCTTTGTGCTCTTTACACCACTCTGGTATTTCCCACTTACCACGAATCACTTTAAAAATTGTACCCATGAGAACTTATGGGATCTGTTGCCTGCTTAAAGGCAATTGCCAAGGGGCGGTGGGGGGGGTGGGGAAGAATCTCTCAACCATTGTGAGAAATGATTTGGTTTGTGCATATCTTCCAGAACAACGTTATCCAATAGAAATGCAACGTGAGCCACATGTGTAATTTTCCATTTTAAATTTTTTAGCAGCCACATGCAAAACACAAAAAGAAACCAGCAAAATTAATTTTAAGGCTATATTTTGTTTAGGTCTGTTTATCCACAATATTATCATTTCAACATGTAACAAGCATAGACATTGGTATTGAGATAGCCTACCTTCTTTTTTTTTCATACCAAGTCTTCAAATCTATTTCTGTGTTTTCCCTTACAAAGGAGCCACTTTGTGGCTAGTTCCATTTCAAGTGCTCAGTAGCCACCTGTGGTTAGTGGCTACCATACTGGAGAGTGGTGCTCAACTCTGGAACCTTCCAACAGAAAGGGAAACCCAGTAACCCAGCCATTAGAGAAGAGGAAATTTTTATTTTATTAAGAGCAAAAATTGCCAGCCCAACTTTTTAATCCCCCTCTCCACAAAACCCAGATTAGCATCTCTGGGGGACATGCTCTGCTGCTCTCCGGATCCTGCCTCCCTTCTCCTAACCAGCCCTTCTCTCTCTCTTGCCCCACACAGGTCTGGTTTCAGAACGCTAGGGCCAAGTTCAGGCGCAACCTCTTACGGCAGGAAAACACGGCTGTGGACAAGTCGACAGAGGCAACGTTGCAGACAGGGACGCCATCAGGGCCGGCCTCGGAGCTCTCCAACGCCTCGCTCAGCCCCTCCAGCACGCCCACCACCCTCACAGACTTGACCAGCCCCGCCCTGCCAACTGTGACATCCGTCTTAACTTCTGTGCCTGGCAACCTGGAGGGCCACGAGCCTCACAGCCCCTCACAAACGACTCTCACCAACCTTTTCTAGTGACTCACGCCCTCCCCCCCCACAATTTCTTTAAAAAAGAAATTATCTTTAGTTGAATTCCAAGTGTATTTTAAAATAGAGGCTTTGAGCAACTAACTAACCACATTTTAGGATCTCGCCTGAAAACAGAGGAAGAAAATAATTGTGCGTCCGGCTAATGCAGCGGTGTGGACTTGAGGAAGTACTTGGAAAATCTATCTGCAACACAACATTTGTGTCACTGTACAGTTTTGTGGACTGAGCGAGGAAAAACAACAAATAATTTAAGTTGGCTAGAGCTTCTGTATTTTCAAAGACTGCCACGTGCCTTAGGAATACTGTTTTATCTCCATACTTTGGATGACTTGTTCATTTTTCTCTCCCTCTTTTTCTCTCTGTATATTTATGACCAGAGCAAAAATGTAAAAAAAAAAAAAAAAAAAAAAAAAAAGTTTGTTACTTTGAATAGTCCTAAAAAAAAAAAAAAAAAAAAAAGGAAAAATCAAACCCCCTCCAACGGTCGCTTTGTTGTTTTAGAATTTTAAGGTGGAAGTCTGTTCGAATATCAGAATTTGTAAAATCTAACCAGTAATAAAACCACTTATTGAAACTAGTTGGTGTTGCTGTTGTTTAGTGGGGTGTGAAATTCACAGGACATAAGGGTCTTACTGAAGCCCAGACATAAATTCCAAGGTCTTCTCTTATTTATCTATAATATTTATTATAATATGCCTGGGGGCCCCCCCTTTTCTGTGCCAGGCTTTGGGCTGCTTGTCAAAATCCAGAGATTCCTTGCCATCAAGGAATATAGAGTGGAGGCAGGGACAGAAGAGATAATCTCAACATGGTGTGATATGTACCAAGTGGAGAGTATGTCAACGAAGTACCATTCAGTTCATTCATTTGTTCTTTCAAATATTAAGTACGCCCTGCTGAATACTTGTGATAGAGGTAAAAGGTTATCACACCTGCCTTTTCTGCTCTTCTCTGGGCTGGAAGGGTGTGTCAGGCAATGAAGAAAGCCTACCCCTATCAGGAGTGAATGCTGTCACCAAAGGGCAGCTTAAACTCCAGTTTTCCTAATGAATTAAAAAAAAAAATTAATCTCCCAAGAGGGCAAAAGCAGATGAATTTGGCTTCTTCACTACGGCTTCAGGCAACCTCAGAAACCCACAGAAAGGACACATCCAGGAAGGACAGAGGATTAGAGGCAGGCAGACTGAGGTCGGAATCTCTATTATTGCAGCGTGAGCTGAGGGATGTCGTTTCACTTCTGTGAGCCTCCATTTCCTCAGCTGGAAGATGAAGATAATGGCCTTTACAGACAGTTCTAGTGAGGATGAGGCAAGGTGTGCTGAAGGGCCCAGTGGAGGACCTGGCATATAGTAGAGGCTCACTATGTTTTACTGAGTCATAAGACAGGTGACTCGTAAGGACGTTGCAGGTGGAGATCAGGAATGTGTGTATCCAGGCATCGCCCGTCATTGCTGAACGCATCAAGCAGGCGTGGTGTCTGTCCACTGGACATCTTACACCCCTGATTTCTTGCTCTGAACCCTGCTACAGAGCACTCTGTTACCAGCTTCACTGAATGCCAGTAGTTACCTAGCAAAATGTCCTTCAGTGGTCGGCCAATCTGAAAACCCAGAGGGAAAATCAGAGCTGCCTTGATGAGAAAACAGCCAGGAGAGACTGGGCGGGGGAACAATCCAGCCCAGGACTGGGGTCTCTCTCCCGTCGTCCCTGTGCCATCATGGTTGGGACAGGGTTGGGGAGGAATGGGCTGGGAGTGCTTAAAGCCTGGACAGACCCACCTCCTGAAATGTTAAAAACACACACTCACCAACACTACTATTGTTACTGTTATTTCATGCCTGGAAAAATGGTAGAAGCTCAATGAATTTTTTGTAACTTCTATATTTTTCTATAATGTGTGTAAAGTGCGCACATCTGAAATGAACAGCTTGATTAATGTTTTCCAAATGAACAACCACCACATAGACCCAAATCACCCAAATCAAGATAATAAGACACTGACGGCACCCAAAAGGCTCCCTTGGGCCTCCTCCCTGTCAACTCCTCCCAAGATGGCTCCTATCTGACTTCTAGCACCATGGATTAGCTTTATCTGTTTTTGATCGATACATTTTTGCTGAATGAATTCAGGATTGCTCAAGATTAGCCAACTTGCCTGAGGTCAGGCAGCTTAGTGGTGAAGAAGCCAACATTTGAACCAGGTCTGTCTCCAGACCCCAAGTCCTGTCAGCTAGGGTAATAGGATCTGTACCTCAGTGATGGCTGTGTGAGAGAATGCGAGCAGAGGGCCTGGCCTGTGGATAAGCACGCAGATACGACACCAGGTACTCCCAGGGACTTATGTACGTGCCCACAGACACCACGCACGTACGCCCTCGAGACACTCATGGGTAGATAGACCCACAGGCTAAGGTGCTTACACCCAGACAGCCTCACACAAAGACACACATATACAAATGCTCGCAGACAGACATAAACAGGCCCAGACACTCACAAATACATCTAGACAGACACCCAGACCACCCCACACGGGGAGACCCGCACACAAACCCAGATGTGCACACATGCAAACATTTGCAGGCACCCAGACGCCCCCGCATAGCCTGGTTGTGCCCCCTTGCTCAGGCCCGGACAGAGCCAAGTCTGATCCCTATCTCGCCTGTCAGCACTGCCACCCAGATGGAGCAGACCCTGGAATGATGCCCGGGGGTCCCCCACCCCCTACACGGGAGCAACGTTAGAAGCAGGGCCTGCTGTCTGGCCGGGGATGGGGGCGCTGTGGAGGAGACATGGCTTGCCCCAGAGTCAGAGCCTGAGAGACACACACGCTGAGTGAGAGACTCCGAAAGATAGTGATAGTGGCAGGAAGACAGGGAGTGTGGCAGAGAGAGGGTACCGGGTTCTGGGAGACAGAGAAAGAGTCCGACCCAGAGGCGGAAAGGGACAGGGACAAAGACGCAGGGGGCAGGAGGCAGAGAGACAAACGGATCAACCACAGACAGACTTCTGAAAAGACAAACAGCAACAGAGTAGTGAGGAGGTAGAGAGACAGACAAAGATGGGGGCCAAGATTAAGAGCGTCAACACGCAGGGGACAGACGACAAGACAAAGACAGAGATTGAGAAGAGAAGCCTCAGAGATCAAGGGAGACCCTGGGACAGATTCAGAGGCCGAGAGAGACCAAGGCAGAGAGCCAGAGCCGAGAAACCGCGATGGGCACTTTGAGACTAATAAAGGGAGACTCTCAGGGACCAAGAAGGGAGACAGAAATAGAGTCTCAGGCCGAGGGAGAGGCAGGCAAAGGAAGGCGGGTGCTTGGTGGGGAAGGGGCTGAGGCTGCCAGCCCAGCTCGGTCTACCTGTGATGGGACTGAGGGAGTAAGTGTTCTTACCACTGCCACCGCTGGCTCCGGCGCGTCGTCCCCACCTCCCTGCATGCTGCTCCGACATGCTGTGAATGTGGGGGATCTCCTGGTTCTTGGGGCCCACACCCAGGCCTGGCACTGGGCAGTCTGCAGGAGCTGAGGTCTTGGCCGTGACCTTCCTCCTGTCCGGTCCCATCCCACCAGGTCTCCTTTTCCCCAGAGTGGGAAGGTCTGGGGCAGATCCACCGTCTTCTCTGCCTTGAAAGAATTTTAGCAAGGTGCTGAGCCACTCTGAACCCCAGCGTCTTAATCTGTAAAATGGGGCCAACAGTATCCAGCTTACAGGGGGTACTGTCAGGACCCCTGAGAGAATGTGCACACGCTGTATTTGTGGTTCGGCCAAATACGAGGGGAGCCACAGAGATGTAAGGAACTGAGAAGTGGGGAGAGACTCCAAGGAGGAGATGCTATTTGAGCTGGGATCTTGGGTGAACCAAAGGTGACTAGGTGGAGGAAGGGAGCAGGGGAGCATCCCCAGCTGAGGAAACAGCCAGGGCCCAGGCAAGAGGGCACACAGCACATCCAGGAGTGGAGAGTAATGTAATGGTGGGGCTGCCCCTGAACAGCTGGGTGAAGTTCAGCTCACAGACAGCCTTGAACACCAACTGGAACTTTACCCTGCGGGCTATGGGTGAGCTGCCTCTGACATCCTGACATCCATAGGCTGCAGGAGGAACCAGCCACTTTCCCACCTTGCACTTAAGTTGGAGTCCCATATGGCAGAAACACCTTTCTGGAGGGGAAGTGTTTGTCGTTGTGACCTGTGGGTCCTGCTGCAGCAGTGGACCCTGCCAGGCTTCATCTGTCAGCTGAGGCTCCAGGGAGGGCTGCCTTCTGGCCCCTGGGGACTCTAGGAGTGCCAGCAGGCCCTTCCTACCTCCGTTTCTACCTTTCCCCGGCTCTGCTCCTCCCTTCCTCCTTGGCCCAGTGCTGAGCAATGGGGACTGGAAGCATGGAGATGGTTTTGCCTGCAGCCCCTCTCTCTGGCCCCCAGGCCTATCTAGGAGACAGACACAGCCACTGCCCAACATGAGGGAATCCCAGGGGGTTACCGGAGCCCCCCCCCCCATCCCCGGAGGGAGAGGCTGGCTCTGCAGGGGGTGAACGTCCCACCCAACTTGCCAAATCTTTATAGTTATGATCTCACTGAGTCCTTCCCACAGCGTTATGAGGCAAGGATTATCATTCCATTTCACTGAGAAAGAAGCCAAGGAGAAGTGTTTTGCCCAGGCTCACAGAGTTTGGGGGCCACAAAGATATTTTCATTGCAATTCAACCAATCCAGTTGGCACGTATCAATTCCTCTGCCATGCCAGGCACTCTGCTGGGGACAATGACAGAGACAGTTTCGGTCATCCTAGGGTCTTGCAAAAGCAGACCGAGTAGGAGGGTAGCTGGGACTGGGGGTTCGAGATGCAGAGGGAGCCCAGAGGAGGCTCCTAGTAGAGACTGATGTTTGGGGCACTTTGTGAGTTAGAAGATCGGGCAACTGACCTGGAGGTGTTTGGAGCCACAGTGGGATTAAGGGAGAGGACAGAAGCGTATGATCAGGGTGTGGTATTTTTCCACCAGTGAACAGCACTCACGTGGG